CTCGCGCCTCCCGGCGCCAGTGGTGTCGAAAGGCCAAAATCGGCCGCGTGCAGCCGTTTTCTGTGCCCCCCTCTCGTCCAGCCGGACAAGGCAGAGCCAAGACCTAGGGGCTCGACAGTTTCGAGCCAGGATCGAGGCTCGATCCGAGGTGGGTTGATGGTCCCAGGATTGGATGGGGGACCGACGGGCATCGAGGTCTCCAGGATCCGAGGGGGATCCGAGGGGATCGAGGGGGATGGAGGAGTCGGGGGTGATCCGATCGGAATCCGAAGGGGATCGACGGGGATATCGAGGATTCGGGGGGGAGTCGTGAGGCGTCGAAAAGGATCGAGGATTCGAGGGGGAATCGTGAGTGAGGCGTCGAAGGGGATCGAAGTCTCGCTGGGGGTAGCGAGGACCGTCATTCGATCGCGGTGGATGGAGGCTCACGGCATTCAAGCGTTTCTCAAGCCTCCTTATAGGGCCCCATGGGCGAGGCTGGAATTTTCAAATGTGCCCACCGCCTGGGGAGCTGATGCCCCATGGCCCGAGTAGGCGGTGGATGCGGACATCTCTGCCCCTCCACCAGGGGAACCGCTTAAATCTAGAATGTGTACATCTCTCTCTCTCTCGCTCTCTCTCTCTCTGTGCGCAGGTACAGATCATTATCGGCATGGCTCTCATGTGACGTATGATCCGCTTCAGCGCTACATGTGTATATATGTACCCAGACGCATCTCTATACACACATCTATATACCGTATGGACAGATATGCAGTTACATCGCCGTCAGGACATCAGTTACCCAGGCGGTGGATGTGCAAGTTCTGGCCTCGGAGAGGAGGATACAAATAAACATGTTCCATCGAGCGGACCAGGCAGCGCGACCGAAAGGGGAAGGACATAGAACCCAGACATCCCCAGATCAGACCATACCACATCTTGTTCGGCTCCGACAGGTAGCGACCGATCGGCAAACCAAATCTGTCGCAACCCATGGCGGCCGATTCAAAAATCGGTCGCGACTGCAACCGGTCGCGACCGATCGGACTTTGAAGCAAATCGTTTGCGACGATACCAGAATTCGAAGCAACATTGGTAGCGACCGATCTCGTCGACCTACGAGTCTGGCATCCAATGCTCATAAATCCAGCGGACTGCTGCTTTTTACAATCCTGGCGTGATTTCTGAAATTGGGCCTCCGAGAAGAATTTCCGGAGCCCGAGCGAATCTACAGGGTCCCAAAACAGTGCGGCGACAGACCGTGCGGTGACCTCGAAACCCGCAGAGATCTCACCGCACGGTCCATCAGCCCTCGGTGTTGCACTCTGGATGCCACAGTCGTAGACGCCCTCGGAGAACGACCCAAGTCCCAAAACCGTGCAGTCACCCCCACATCCTCACCAGAACTCTGCAGCCCGCGGTTGCTGAAAAGAAGCACCGTGTCCGATGTCTGGGGAGACGAGAGAGGGAGGAGGGAGGGGGGGTGAGGAAGGAGGGAGGCAAGGGAGGGGAGGGGGGAGGGAGAAGAGAAAGGAGGGGCAAGTTAGGTGCGCTCGCACCATAGTTGACATCCTACCCGGCACACCAATCCCATCCCATTGCGCCAATTGTTTCTATATATATATATATATATATATATATATATATATATATCCGCGCGGAAGGAGAAAGATTACCAGGGGGAGGCGGAAGAGGGGAACGGAGCGGGGTCACAACGACGAGGCAAAGCTCGGATCCAGAAGCGTGGCACGCGCTGGTGCGAGATCGCCTTTCTGAACGACGGAAGCAAAGCGCCATTCTTGACATGAGGCCCACCCTGCAGCGGGGACACTATTTTGGAACACCGAAACCTTGCGGTTGCTAAATCCACCCGAACATCCAAAGCCTGAACCACGGCGTAAAAATATAGACCGAGGAGGCGGCATATTGGCAGCATGCAGTGAGGGCAGACAGGAGACGGAGGAGGAATGAGAGATGACAATCACTTCCGACGTCGTGACCTTTCACCTCGTGCGCGTGGGAGGTTCGGCGCTAGCGGCGCTTGCAGGGCAGAAGGCGGGTACCGCAAGGATTTGTGCGCCCCTTCCAGTGTCCTAGACCTGGTCGAGATCGGCGCGTTTCGACGAACAGCCGACCAAGTGGGTGGAAATCAACCGATGCTTGGGCCAAGCGCCCAGGAGTAGTCCTCGCCTCGCGATGGATATTACACGGCTATCAAGGCCCCGTAGAACAGGACAAACTAGACCAAGACACCCAACATCCCTCGAAACCAATTTTCCAGACGGCAGAACGATCAAAACCGCACTGCACCACTCCTGGAAGAAACCCGCACACGGGCCCGAAAAGCATGCAAAACATTCCAAGATCCAGACGAATGCCCGAATCCTGCAACAATATGCTTGCCAGCGTCGAACCCAAACAGTGCGTTCTACTTGATGCGCAGTATTCGTGATGCAAGATGTGTGGTGCAGTCTACGTTGTGCATTCTATGTGGTGCAAGGCATGTGGTCCAATCTGGATGGTGCAAGCTGTGGTGCACTTACTCGTAATCTGGTGCACACCATGGGGCGCAACCTACGAGTAGGGGGTCGACTACATAATCGATGTACCCCCTATTTTTTTCGTATCATCTACAACAGTAAGTCGAGTGCTTCGTAGATGTTCGAAGAATATGCGGAAAACGAACATTTGGGTACATCAAGTCTGTAGTCGATTCCCTATTCGAACGCTAATGGAATAAACTACGTGGCGCGCTCTACAATGTCTCTACAAATGGACCCCGTGTGAGTGCCCACGGGCGACCAGCAGGTGAAACCTCGGCGAACGCAGCCAGCGCATGGGGCGCTCACGAGGCGCCCCTTGTTCCAAGACGCCGGGAATATGGGTCCCCCGCCTCTTCCCCTGTCTCGCCGTCCGTTTCCTCTGTCCCTCCGTCCCTCTGTCCCTCTGTCGTCTCCCTCTCCCTCCTTCCGTCCTCCCTCCCCTCCGCCCTCCCCCCCCCTTCCCACAGTGGGAGAGCGATCGGGGGCGAGGAAGCCAGCAGCCCGCCCGTCCTGTTCGAAGGGAGTCCAGTGGCGGTGTAATACCGCTGCGACGTGTCCATGATGCTGGCCACGTGTACGAGGGCGCCACCGAGCCCGTCGTTCATGTAGACCCTGTAGCCTTTGGCGGTGCGCACAAGGGGGTAGGGGGAGGGTGGAGGCTTCTTAGAAGGGAGCTGCCTCTTAGAAGGCGCCAGCCCTACATCTGTAGAGAAAGCCCGCGCCTTCTAAGAAGCAGGGTGCTTCTAAGAAGTCCCCCCCCTACCGCTACCCCCCTCTGCGCGTGGCTGGCGCCTGCAGCAGCACACCTGGACCTCCAATGTCTCTTCAAGGTGGGGCCTCTGGAGTCCCTGCTCCGGGCCCCTCGACCACCAACAGGGGCGCCCAAAAGGGGGCATCCAGCGGGGGGGGGTCACAACTCATGGCCCGAGGCTCGTGCGCGGCCCAGGCGGGGCCAAGGGCCGTATTGAGTAAGAGGCCATGACGTCCTTGGAGATATCATGGCCCCCGCAATGGTATCCAACCCCTCGCAGCCCTGGCTCCGCTCCGGGTGAAGAGCAACGATAGGGGCGACAGGCACACGGGGGGGGGGGGCATCGACCTGACATCGGTAATATATCGCTGATAGACCGGCGACAGGCCCCGATGGCGAATCGGTACAATTCTGGGCAGATTGGGGTGCGGTCTGACCAGGATTCCAAGGCGAATCTAGCGGTGGCGACAAGGGATTCCCAGGAGGTCGAACAAGAAGGAAAACGGGCGAAGGGCAGCGGTATCGGTACTGGTTCCTCCTCTGAGCTCCGAAACCACCTGGGAGGCCTGGGCCCAGAGAGGAACGGGCGATTGTGGGTCGGTGCGTCCCCCGAGGGGCCTATCGCCCCCAGCCCTCTCGCGCTGCCCTTTGGGGAACCCTGGGCCCGCCGAGGCTCCCGGCAGGAGCTCCGACCCAGCCCCCTCATACGCCAACAGGACGCAACACATGCCTCTGCAACAGCTGGCGCCCGGCTGTGCTCTACCTGCCCTCCTCCTCCAGAGGAGGAAGAGGAGGAGGAGGAGGAGGGGGAGGAGGAGGAGGAGGAGGAGGAGGAGGAGGAGGAGGAGGAGGCGTTTAAACCCGCGTGCTCAGGCGTGCGCATGGGTGCCAGGGGTCTCGGCACCCAGGCCAGGTCCGCGAAGGCCCAGAGAAAGGCCCAAATCGAGCAAGAACCTCGATCCTCCTCCTGCTGCTCCTCCTTTACCTCTTCCTCCTCTTCCTCCTTCCGTCCGTCCTTCCTTCCTTCCTTCGCGCGCTTGGGGCGGTCACGGCACCCAGGGCCACACGGACAGGGGGGCTAACGACCACCTGCGGCTCATCCCAGCTGCTGCTTCTGCGACCTCATCCCCAGACCCCTGATGTCATGAGTTCATCACAACGTGGTCCTTAGGAGGTCTCGACCCACTCCTCGAGGTCAGCTTTTCATCCCGAGTCTTTTTGTTGACTGTCCCAGTGCGAAGGCCTCCAGAGGCCGAAAGCAGCAAAGCAACATCTCCTATCATGGTTAATTCGCGACGCAAGGGCGTCCGGGTCCTCCTTCTCACCCTCCCTCCTGACCCACCTCTTCTTCCTCCTCCTCCTCCTCCTCCTCCTCCTCCTCCTCCTCCTTCTCCCCTGATCATTGGATGCTGGAGATTTCCAAGCGCGACCGACGGGACCGACGAGATCGGTCACTACCGATGCAGCTCCAAATTTCGGCATCGTTTGCGACATATTTGACTCAAATCGGTGGCGACCGCATTGGAAATTCGCCGCGATCGGTCACGACCCATTTGGAGTGCCGCTCGGTCGCTGTCGATTGCGACGGAAAGATATGGTATCCACGTTCTGAGGGGACTCATGGGAGCATACCATCATATTGTAGGCTCTTGCAGATCGACGCTACATCTGCGCACATGAACGCGACCGACGCTACACCAACGTTTCAAGACTCCCTGATGTGCTACAGTATCCAATGGTCCGCGTCCATACTTTTGGCAGCGCGCACAGGGGGGCGGGGGGAGGGGAAAGGCTTCTTAAAGGAGGCTGCTTCTTAGAAGGTGTCGGCCTTACATCTGTAGATACAAACCGCGCCATATCCCTCTCCGCCATATCCACCTCTGGGGAAACCAACAGGTACCTATGCCGCTACTCCCTAGGCCTCTCCCCCTGGAAGCATAGAGGACCAAGACTTCTTCAACCCTCCATCCGGAAGAACTCCGAAACTGGACTCCCTCGACCCTCGGCGACAACGACGTCTCGGTCCGTGCCAATCACGCGGGCGGGGCGGCAAAGGGAATAAAGAGGGCACAGGCTGGGGGAGGCGCCTTTGAGCTCCGCGCCGTTGAGGCCGCCCTCTTCCCACTGGGGGCGCGCCAAGTCGCGCGCCGCTTCCCCCCATCCTCTACCTCATCATCCTCGTCCTCCCTCCACCTCGTCATTCTTCGCCACCTCCTCGTCCTCCTCCACTTCGCCTGCCTTCTCGTCCACCTCCTCCTCTTTCTCACCCTCCTCCTCCTCCTCCTCCTCCACCACCTCCTCCTCCTCCTCCTCCTCCAAATCCTCCTCCTCCCACTTCTCTTCTTCCTCCTCCTCATCGTCCACCTCCTCCTCTTCCTCCTTGTGTCCCACCATCGTCTTGTCGAGCTCGTCCTGCTGCTCCTCCTAATCCCACCAGCCCTCTGGGCGTAAGTGGTCTAGAGAGCTCGTTCTGCTAACTCCCTTCCTCCCATTCGCGGGGTGATCCCCCTCACACTTCCCCCTCCCCCTGGGTCTAGACCCCTCTCGTGGGTTATCAGGTGGTCCTTTTGTCCCCCCCTCCCCCTTCCCCTCATTCACCAATGGCAAGAGAGCCCCAAGTAAACCACAAGAGGGCACCAAGAGGGACCCAAGAGGGCCCAAGAGGCCCCCAGAAGGGCCCCGAGGGTCCCGAGAGGCCTCCAAGACCCTCCCAGAACAGAAGATCTGCAATGGCATTGATGGCTGACTCTGGTTGATGTCGTTGCCGTCGTCGTCGTCGGCGTTGGCGTCGGCGTCGGCGTCGGCGTCGGAGTCGGCGTCGGAGTCGGCGTCGGCGTCAGCGTCGTCGTCGTCGCCGGCAGCGTAGACATCGTCGTTGTCCCCCTCCTTCTTACGCTGCGTGCTACTTTAATTCCCTGATCAAGGCACCTTGCCTGGGCATCGTCACTGCAACCGCCCTGGGTTTACCATGTACGAGGTGGTAGGGGCAAACGCTTCCCGCGGCTGCCTGAGTTGAGTGGTTTCATGTCGTCTCTACGGTTTTCGCGCGCCCAAACCAACGCGCGTACGGTGAGCAACGACAGACAAACACCGTCCCCAGGCGGCCCCGGGCACGCATGACGTAAGACATGCACCGCAGACAACGACAAGCAACCACTCCAGCAAGGCCCTACACATCCCTGCTCAGGGCAAATCGCCAGGTGTGTGTTTTTGAGGATACGCGAAAAGTTAAAAATTAGTCCTCCACCTCCATCTGCTCCTCCTCGTCGTCCACCTCCTCTTCACTGCCATCTCGTTGGGCTCGTCATCTTCCTCCACGTCTCCCCTCCGGCTCGGTGACATCCTGGTCTTGTCCTCCCCCATCCTCCATCCCACCTTCATAATCAAACAAACTGAACCCTGGTCGTACCACCAGACGTGACCGTAGGCCGGGCCATGCGATACGCTTGGGATTTAGTATGTGATGCGGAAACTGAACGCTTCAACAAGTACAATGTGACGGAGAGCTGATCCTGTTTGCATGCGACTCGCACTAGCTCCACGCGCATACGTTTGAAACGTTTCCACTATGGTGGGAGGCAAATGCTTTTGAACAAATGCACTCTTGCCGTGGCGCCGCGCACATTCGTTTCGGTAGTTCCTGACGCTTACACGATTGGAGGTCATGTTCGTTTGCCAATTTGGGCTTCCGCCTGAGACTTCCTCATCCGATATCACACGAAGTTCCAAATTGTGCGCAAAGATATTCGGATGGAAGGCGGCTCATTTCAAACATGGAGCTGTCGCTCAAGACCTCGCGCGCGCCCCTTCCTCCCCGCCCTCCCTAGGTCCCTAGGTGGCGGCAACTACTCGCAAACGGCCTGAATCCGCCGTGGGGGGTTTACGATCCATTACATGGACGAAGACATGTGTTCTTCGGACGTTTGCGAGTAGGCACTTCGGTGAGGTTGATCGACGAGAGTGGGGTTCGGCTTTCGCCGCCGACTCCGCCCCAAACCCTGCCATTCCCCGGACCTCTCGCGGGGCTTGGCGCGCTCAGGAGGTGCGATGCGTGCGCTGCCCGCGCGCGGCCCTTTAGAGACGCGCGCGCCCTGCGGCGCACTGCCCAGGTGCTGGCCGGGGCGGGACGCAGGGAACCGACGGCGCGGCAACGGTGCGCAGCGCCGTTGGATAAGGAATCCAGGGTCTGGAAGCTGGTGGAACACGAATCGAGGCTTGGCCATGGGTATCACCGCCGCCCTAATCAGATAAAATGAAGGAATCCTCTAGGGTCTGAAACCTCGTGGCCACATTCCTTAACCAAGACCCCCTCCTAGGCTGAAGAGCCCCAGGAGGGCGAAAGCAGCCTGCGCTCGGCACACAAGACCACGCCGGCACCAGTGCCCGTGTTGGCTTGATTATCTTGTCGATCGGGGGCGGCCACGGCCAGGAGTGCCGCCACCGCATGGCCGTCTGCCGTCCAGGACAACCCCGACGTCATGATTTCGTTGCCAAATTTAACCCTTGACCCATTCCCTGGGGCCATGTCTTCATCCTGCGTCCTTTCTTGCTGGTCACGGGGCCTGGCGAGCGATCACCCAAAGGCCGAAAATGGAAGAACAGTAACTCCAGTCATGAGTTCTTCACGACGCGAAGGGGTGTGGGTAAGGGGCGATTATTTTCACTTCCGACTGCAAGCCCCTGGTCGTGGAGGTCGGCGGAATTTGGGAGGGTTGCTACGAGAGGCCTGTCCTCATGCGAGCCCTCCTGTCTGTGCCCCCGAATTGTTCTCTACTCACACCGTCCCAGGATTCAGTGGCCAGTGCATTCCATTGCGTTCTATGTGCTAGGTGTTCCTCCTCCTGGGAGCGCTGAGAATGATGTGACGCGAGGGGGGTGGGCATCTGAGAAGCCGCGGGGCCTTTTAGAAGGCAGGGGACTTCCTAGAGGCTTCCAAGAGAAGGCGTCTTGAAACCCATGGGGCCTTCTGGGTTAGCGAGCAAAGAACGGTATAACATGACCTGTTCCGTCACCGGGGGGAGCTGTCCCAGGGCGGCCAGAAGGTTTATACCTTGACGTGCCGCCGTAGGAGTATAAACTGTCCAGCCGCCCTAGATCAAGCGTCCCCGACGGCGAAAACGTTTCAGTCGGACCCAGGACAGAAGAACATCCTTCACGAACATGAGACCCTCCGCCGGCCAAAAGACACAGAACGTTCAAGGGTACCGTCCTCCGGGAAGCACAAGAGCTTCCAACGAACCCGAAGAACATTAGGGTGCCCTCCCGAAATCGAGGTCGATCTTATACCTCGGTCCGACCATATTTTATAACGTTCTTCGCCCGTGAACTGAGCGGGGCCCTGCCTTCTAAGGAGACCCCCAACCTTCCGAGAAGGCCGCCCCCCCGGCGCCAGCCGCCCCCTCGCGTTCGCCGCCAGTCCTCCCCCATCCTGCGAAGTTCGGCCGAGAAGGGGCCACTGGCCCCAGGGCGAGCTGCTCTCTCCGACGCCCTCCGGCGCCGGAGGCGTCGGGTTGTCGAGGAAAACGCCCCACGGCGGAGCCGAAACCGGTTGCGTGCAGTAGGTTTCGTACCTCCCTTTTCCATGCTCTCCCCGTCGCCCGACCCGATCCTTGGCCGGGCATACAGTCATCGTGCTACCACAAGGAACGCACAATGAGGAACGAAGGGGCTTTTCTGGCCACGGCGTGCCTCGGCCACGAATAGGTTCGCAACCTAGATCTAAGGAACGCCTCGAAACCCAAAGCCCCTCCCGAGCCCCCAGTGGTCCACATTTCAGCGTCTTGGCTGTGGCACAACCGATAATGGTCACTAGGTCCTGAGGCGCAACGCGTCCACGCGCGACATATCTAGACTTCCTTCTGCTTCTACTCCCTCCCTCCTGCCCGTGCTCGTCCTCGGAGTGCAGCGACGAGACAAGGGAGGACCCACTTAAGGGGAGGAAACATCGACTCGGGATCGACGATACGTTGCCGGTAGATCGGCGATAGGCCCTGCATAGCGAAGCTGCACGTTCCTGGGCGGGGTGGGCCATATCGGGCCCCATCGGCGATCAGTGGGCGATCAGGGGGCTTGTGCGTTCCTCCCTGAACCTTCCCCCCTAACATTTACTGGTGTTGGTCTTCGGGTCATAACTCGGGTCTCTCGCGGCCATTTGGGACGACCCCAACACTGCAGGAATGCCCTCAGCGAGTCGCAGCTGCTGGAACACACCCTGGGCCCCGAAAATTTCGGACTGCGTTCGGAAATTAACCCACATTCAGACATCTGTCTACATTGTTTGTTCAATGCGCGGCCCCAAAAGCCCCCCCAACCAATCCCTGGGTGTAGTTGTTCGTCCTGGATCCGTGTCTGATCTGGGGCCCGGCAACGGCCCCCCAGAGGCCGAAGTCGAGGAGAACAAACCACTCACAGTCGTCCTCCCCCCCCTCATCCGCCCCGCGCACAGCGGGGCCGGCCGTGAAGGAGACAGAGGACTCGGTGCCCCCGTTGTCGTACACGGTGGGCGCGTCTGGCAGGTCCGCGCAGAACAGCTTGGAGATGGGCGAGTAGGACCCGACCTCCGCCGCCGCGCGGGGCCGGCCCTTTGCCTCACGAGCGGCCATGTCAACGCTCTCGCGGTCTGGAATCTACGTTCCGCGCGGGGCATCTGCGAAGCAACGCCCCGTATCCCGGCGGCCTGGCCCGCCGTGGATATGGATGTGTTTCCCGGCCACGGTCCTCCCCAGACCCCCTCGCGGCGTGAACACGATCGCGGCGGGAGGCTCTGTTTGGCTACTCTCGACCTCGGAACCCTCGCTGGGCCCCCGGGCCGCCAAAGAACCGACTTGAGGGACGAGAAACGCTGGCCCCGGGGAAAGGGTCGAGCTCCCCTCCGCGGACCAGGCCGCTAAGAATCATGACGTCGGGGGCCAGGGCCCCAACCGCGCCCCCTCCCCGGGCCCTCGACGTCATGATCTGTCACAACGTGGACCCCCCGTTTCACTCATTCCTCTGGGCAGGCATCTCACCGTGAATCAGGACTCTTGTTGGCGCTCTTGGGGCCAGGCGGCGGCTCCCAGAGGCTGAGAACAGCAACGCACCCCAGCAAAGCACCATAATGGCAGCAATAATAAAAAAGAGGCGTGTCGACGAGCAGGAGGAGCACGGGCGGGAAGCCCCCAGAAAGAACATCTGCAGCCGATACAAGGGTGAGACCACGGCCATGTGTACCCTAGGATACTGTCTACAAAACATCGTGACCGTCCGAACCAAACATGTAGCCAGCATTGAGGGCAGAGCACGATGCCTGAGTAAATCGTGTGGAAATCTGAGGCGACAAGGCTTCCGGCATCGGGCGAGCACGAGCTCCCCGTCACCCGCGCCCTGATCATCTGATGCCATAGTTTCTGGTCGCGACCGACGGGATAGGTCGCTACCGATTTTGCTTCAAATTCAAATATCGGTCGCGATCGAGCGGTCGCGACCGATTTGGAGTGCCGATCGGTCACCACCAGTCGCGACCGAAAAAGTCGGGTATTCAATGACTCGGGTGTGGGACCCTTTTGTGGTCGTTTTAAAGCACGTTTTGCACCTCGAGGGGAGACGACGCATCCCGCGTGTTGACTTTTTCACGACGCTCGCGGCTGGGGGGCTCCCAGCCTGCAGCGGCCGCGCAGACCAAATTGGGCGGGCTGGCACCCCATCTGTCGGGACAATCATCCCCCACTTGGATGTTGCGCCAATCTCAGTTCTTCTCCTGCATGCAGAGACGAGCGCCCCGCCAAGCGCTAAAGGAACTAGCGTTCGGGGCGTGCTGAATCAAGCATAGCAACGATGGTTCCCTCTCTTCCGTGATTAAAGATTTCTTCAACGCCGCCAAGCCGTGCACCAACCACGAAGGATGGCAACGTCCGACGGCGACCTTCTAACGCTATCCACTTTAGCGTTCGGCCGCAGGCACCAACAACAGAACACCTTCCGTGCTGAGACCCTGACAATGGCCACCGCCACCTCGTGGACCCGCGAGGGAAGGGTTGAGCACGCGCTGCCAAACAGGTAAGGGGGGAGTCCAAATCATTGGATACCAACTTTTTCGGTCGCGATCGGTAGCGAGCGATCGGCGCTCCAAATCGGTCGCGACCCATCGCGACCAATCGATTATGAAGCAAATCGGTCGCGGCCGACTGCAGAACTTCAAGCAAAATCGGCAGCGACCGACCTCGTCGGTCGCGACAAGATAACTCCAGCATCCAAGGATCAGGGCTGGAGTAGGAGGACGAAGGGGGAGGAGGGAACTCGCATCAAGGGAAGGCTAAGAATGCTATGGCCTGCATTCGAAACCTTGGCGGGGCGGTCCTGCCTGTCCAGGCTGAGCAACTGGAGCCGTGCCCACGAGCTGGCTCAAGTCGGGCCGCCTTCGCGCGACCTGCTGAAAACTGGCCTGCGCCGCTGCTATGACAGACCGAGCGGCAGCAGGGCGAGAACGGATGGTGCGGTAAGTGTTGAAGCAAGCAAAATATACAACGCAATCGATATCAGTGCGGTGTCAGGTAAGGGGAAAAGCTTATAAACCTGACATATCGACAAACCATCGGCGAGACAAAATTGGGCAGGGAGATGAGGCAGGAAGATAGTAATACAGTCAAACCTAGGGCATTCTAGAACGTGTTCAAAAGGATCGGCCTCTGGGAGGCCACACATCGGGCAGGCCAGAGTGGTCGACCGAAAGCGCCCAGAAGTGCACCAGGCATTGCACATCGTCTTGAAATAAGACGACAAAACCGAGGGCGGAACTTTCTGAGCGGCCCACAAGACATATTCCAGGCAGACATATGCGGGTCATATGTTCTAGCTCGGGCTACTGCGCAGGCGGTCACATCTTGGTGAAAATGGCGACGCAGAGCTAACTCAGCCTTTTTTCTGGAGGGGGACCGCATACTGGGGCATGCCAGGAATCGCAGTCATCTCGACACAGTTGTTAATCATAGCTTTCAAGAGACTTGTTTTCCACCACGGATGCTCAGTCCAGACGTGGCAGCAGTCGTCGTCGTCTTCGAAAGCGGTCAGGTCGTTCCGAATCTCAAAAAAAGCTGGCGAGTATGATGCAGCACGGCACATGGCCGCGCGGCTGACGAGCGCAAGAGAGCGCGCATCAAGAGGAAACCCGAGCTGTGTGGGGCCCATCATCATCTTAGCTGTAACGGCGCTGTGGGGGCCCATCGTGAGCTTCTTCAGCCCAGACCTCGCAAGCTTCAGGCACCTCCGAGTAACTGGCATCAGCTGACACAGAAAGGTGAGCACAGAGAAAGCGATCATGTTATACTGGGCGACAGTTTTGGTGAGTCCTAACCCGAGGCCGTGGATGAGGTTGATGCGGCGGACGAACTTCTGAAGGGCAGGCCCCCAGGACGCGTCAATGCTATCAAGACCCAGACGAACCCCGAGGTACTTCCCGTGCGCCTCGAACTTAAGACCAGGAACTGTCATCCCTAGGACCTCCAGCGCAGCCAGAAAATCAGCCTTACTCATACCGAGGAGCACCACGACAGTTTTGTCTAGGTTGACGCACAGTCCAAACCCAGGGCCAGCCAGGGCCCACACGCTCATGCTGAGGAAAAAGGCTTTGACGATGTCGCCAGAACCGAGGCCGACATCGTCGGCAAAGGCTCCCAAGGAGTGGACAGGACGAGGCAGCAAGAGGCAGATCTTCCGAAGCACTGGGTCCACAGCCAGCGCAAAGAGCGATCCGCTGGCGGGACAACCTTGCTTGATGCCGCGGGTGAGCCAGTACCTTATGTCCCGATGCATGCCACGATACGAAATAGATATCCAAACGCCACGATGTAGACACTTCAGAGCTTTGATGAAGAAGGCGGCCGATCCCATGGCATCAAGCGTCGCGAACATTGCCTCGCGCAGCAGACTGGGAAACGCGGCGCGTACACCGTAAAAGATGAGGCCGGCCTTTAAACAATGCCATTGCACATACCTGTGAAGCGCACAATATTCGAGCTCAAGAATATTCTCGTTCATATTCCTCCCACCCACGAACCCCCTCTGCTGCTTGATGCACGTATACTGACATATGGCACTCAGAGGCTTGTTGGGAGCAGGCGAGATCAGCTTATTCGAGGTGCACGACAAAGTGAGCGGCCCAGTAGCAGAGGGCTTGCGCATACAGAGCTGCTCGCCCCCCTCCTCAACTCCTTTGGCTAAGAAGATATTGCGCCCATGGTTGAAGCCCCTGTGACATTCACCCTGATCCAGAATATGAAGGTATAAACGATATAGAGCAGACGTCCACAAAGTGCCAGAATTGCTCCGACCGCTATACGGGATCCCGTCGGGGCCTGGGGCGCAATCACGAGCCTTACCCAACATCTTGAAAAATTCCTCCTCCTCCAGCCTCCACTGAATGTTGCCAGGAATCTGGGGGGCATCAGTGAGCAGCTCGGACATGGCCGCGGGATCAGCATCCACGGCTCTGTGCACTTGTCCCCAGTGACGGGCGAGTTCCTTCGCTCCTTCACGAGGGTCGAAAACTGGCGTCCCGAGTGGGTTTGCAATCGCCTGGAGCGAAATACTGGCACCTCGAGCTGTCCAGGCATAACGGTAAGTGTATAACGTGTTGACCTTTTGTTGCTTCCGTTGCTGTGACATGTCTGTGTCATTCTGGACAAGCTCGATCTGGCCATCGATCTGCTGCTGCTTCAGCGAGGCCAACAAATGATGGAAGCCGACAAAGTTCGAGAACCGACAGGACTCGACATCAAAGAACTGCTGGAGCCTGGGGCACGCCTGTACAGCACGCCTCAAGACAGACTGAGACCCAGACCGTTCGGCCCGCGTAGCAGCCAAAGCCCAAGACACATATTCAGGGAGCGAGTGGGCCCCACGCTGTTCCAGAATGCCCAAGACCTTCCTGGGCGCCGCCTGAATGCCCTCCCGCACCTCCTCCACCGCCTCCAAGGGATTCTCCGACAGCAGACCAGCCCCTTCCAAAAGCTCGCCCAGGATCGTCGGGAACATAGGGTGCTTGGTGACCCAGGACTTGACCGTGAGGATCCCGTCGGGGCACTTGGGGGCCAACACCAAATACACAGGTGCATGATCAGAAAGTGTGCTGGGGTCAGCAGGGCAACCTATGGTGCCCGACGACGGCGCGAAGTCGAGCAGCACGCCAGGTGGGATACTAGTGTAGATGCGATCCAACCGAGCGAGCGACTTGATGGCCGTGCGACCTTCGACCGACCCCTCAACCCTGTGGGCAAACTGCGGCTGCCCAACCTCTGTCAGGAACGGAAACACCTCGATAAAGTGTTTGGCCAGCCGGTGAGAGGGATGAATTAGGCGTCCTGGTAACTGGCAGCTGCCTTCACCAGCAGCTGGAAAGTTAAAGTCTCCACGGACAAATACTGAGCACTGCGCTCGAGGCAAAAGAACATGCCGCGCCCGGTCCAGTTGCTGATGCAGGGTCGCTATGAATATTGACTACTTGTGCAGCGTGAGTGTGATCGTGAAGTAATATACTGTGAATACGACCGTCGGCAAGGGCGCGAGGACGAATATTCGTAAGAATAGCCCGAAGAGTAGGTTTGACATATATGATACATCCTCCAGGATGAGGGCTGTCCATAAACGAGGAAAAACCTTTGAATTGAAATACTTCCCGCCCTAACGCTCTAAAGTACTCGTCCGACCCCCGAGCTTCCTGGACACGCGCTATATCGTGCTGTTGAATCGACTTGATAACACACCTGATCTTTGCTTTATGGGCGTGCTGGGGGGGGGGGGCGACGATGGCACCAAAGAGCGAGCGAGTGTTCCATGACACTATTGAGAATCGCTGAGCAGGCAGAAAAGGACGGCAATCAGCAGGCAACGAGGGCCAGCTGCTGCCAGGATGCGAGGAACCAGACGAGAAGGAGCTGGACGATGATGAAGAAGTAGAACTCGCCGATGAAGTGCCAGAAGCGCTCGAAGATGTGGAACTCGATGAAGAGGCTGTTGCTCTCCTGCAATGTTGCCGTCGTCGTCGAATTCGTGCTGGAAGCGTACCATCATCGTGATTGGACCGAGCAATGTCCTGGTCGTCCGCTGCCGCCAATGTACCCGCCCTCGACGAAGAGGTACTGGCACCCACGCAGCATGGACACCCAAGCCAGAGACATGGCCAGATACAGCAGATGTTTCCCCTGCCTCTGGTGGTCGGTACCCCCTGCTGTCGGCGGCAAACTGCAACGCAGACAGTGATCAGTGCGTGCCACCAGGGCTCGCAACATGCATGGTGACGAACGGCCGAGATGGCAAGGCCGCCTCCTACAGCAAGATGCCGTCGACGGTGTTGGTGATGACTACGTCCGAGAAGCCAAGTTTCTTGAGCTCGCACGCGTTGGGCGTAATGTCCATCTGGCCGCTGTCCGAACCCTTCACCTCGAAGAGCTCAACCGTTTCGCCACCTGAAATCAGCCAAAGCTTCCCACGGAAGCCTTGAGCGCCGAGCTTGTACGAGCCGTGCCACTTGTTCGCGCTGCAGGCGACGTCCATCACCTTGGACCAGAGCACGCCGAGCACGCGGTTGACCTTCCTGATCTCAGGCGGGGCATCCATGCGGATCTTCAAGTTGATAGTGGCGTGGTTCGTCGGGTCGTCCCAGGTCGCGCCGAGAGTGCGGGCTCTGGTGAGGAAGTCCTTCGCGTTGGAGTTCGAGTCGAGGATGATACTGTACGCAGATTGGAAATTGTGAACTTTCGGCATGGCAGTGACACCATCTGGCACATGACGTTTGATCAGGTCCGTCGCGTGCCTGGTCATGACCGTGCCCATCATCGCACGGGGGAAGCCCGCGATCCATACCATGCAATCGCTCGAGTCCGTGCCATGGCTTGTCGACGACCCCGCATTCGGGGTCCTGGACGATGGTGGCTGAGAACGCAGTGCTGCAATTTCTGCCTTTGCCCTGGCTGTGTCGTTCTTCACTTGCTCGATGGAGACTGTGATCGCGCGCTGGGCCTCAGCAGTGGCGGCGGCGATGGCTTCGGCCTGGTTGGCCTGAGCCTTGACCTCCAAGGTTGCAATGCGATCGCTCATGGCTGCCAGCTGGACGTCGTGCTCCGCCAGCGTGGTCTTAACGCCATGGATGTCCTCTTGCGTGGCCAAAGCTGCCTGACAATTCTGCATGTTGGTGAGCATATCGAAGAGCCGTGTGACGTCTGAGCTGCTGTTCCCACACTTGCCGTCGCCTTTCTCCATGGTACGAGGGAACTTGAGGTCACGTCCATCAGAGCTCGCAGCTTCAGTGATCTCAATGTCTTCAGAAGCCATCAGATGAAATGGTTGGAGCGGACACGAGAACTGCTCACCCACGGGCGCAGGAAGCAGGCGGTCAGTGGGGCGGACCACTGAGCGCGAGAAGGACGTCGAACACAAGCGCTCTGGCACTGCCGCGGAATAGCGGTATCCGTGTGTGCCAATGCGGGCTCAGCCCGCCAAAGCATATGCCTTGAGCCAAAATGGCTTGAGCCAAAATGGCTACGGAGGACGAAGGGGGAGGAGGAGGGGGAGGAGGGCGGGGGGGTCAGCTGGAGGGGCGAGCATACCCCCTCTGAAAGCACCCCGTCCCTTGAGCACAGCCCCTGCGAAACGAACCCTGACGAAGCAAACCCTGGAGAAGCAAACCCCAGCGAAGCGAACCCTGGCGAAGCGAACCCCGGCGAAGCGAAACTCCGGCGACGCGAAGCCCGGCGAAGCGCAACCCCGGCGAAGCGACACCATGCCCCTGAGAAGCACCCCCTCCCTTGAGCAGGGGAGGCGGCGGCCGCCGAGGAGAGCGCGCGGCCGCTGCGGAGTGGGAGCGGCAGCGTGCGGAGTGGGAGCGGCGGCCAAGGGGGGCCCTCTCTGGAGGTGCTGCGGCCACGAAGCCAAAATGGTTCCGAGCCTTCCGTTGTCCTCGCCGTCGTCGTCGTCGTCGTCGTCATCGTCGTCGTCGTCGTCGTCGTCGTCATCGTGGTCGTGGTCGTGGTCGTGGTCGTCGTCTTCGTCGTCGTCGTCGTCGTCGCCGTCGTTGTCATCGTCGTCGTCGTCGTGCTCGACCTCGTCCTCGTCCTGGTTGCCTTCGTCGTCGTCCTCGTCCTCGTCCTCGTCCTCGTCGCCGTCGTCGTCGTCGTCGTCGTCGATGTCGTCGTCGTCGTCGCCGTCGTCGTCGTCGACGTCGTCTTCGTTGTCGTCGTCGTCGTGATCGTGGTCGTCGTCGTGGTCGTCGTCGTCTCCGTCGTCGTCGTCGTCGTCGTCGTCGTCCTTCCTCGTCCTCGTCCACGTCGCCGTCGTCGTCGTCGTCCTCTTCGTCGTCCTCGTCCTCGTCCTCGTCCTCGTCGCCTTCGTCGTCGTCGTCGATTTCGTCGTCGTCGTCGTCCTCTTTGTTGTTGTCGTCGTCGTTGTCGTCGTCGTGGTGATCGTGGTCGTGGTCGTCGTCGTGGTCGTCCTCGTCGTCGTCGTCGTCCTCGTCGTCGTCCCTAGAGCCGCGGTGCTACGCAAGAAGGTTATATGTTTTCACTCGCGGCGACAACGGGCGTCATAGGAGGGGGGAGGGAGGGGGCGCTAGGGGAGGGGGGGTCGGCGGCGGGAGGGGGAGGAGGCGAACAGCCTCGTCATCCGCACTCTCCTCCCCCTCCGACGACGACAGCGACGACGATGACCTCGACTCCGACTCGGACGACTCCGACGACGAGCTCCCGAAGCGGGAACACCGAGATCTGAACGCCCCCCCCCCGCCGTGTGGCTGGCACCACATACTGTGGTGCTGGACGCACTGCGGCGGTGCCAGAGACGCTCTCAAGGGGGGGGCATGATTGTTGGGGTGGGGAGCGGGGGGGAGGCAGGCTAGGTGCGCTCGCGCCTCAGCTGACATCCTTTCCCATCCCCCCCATCCCTTCCCTTTCCATCTTTCATTCTCAGCGGACGCGTATCATAGCCGACCTGCGACTCCCAAAGAAGACCACTTAGTGATATGTGCAATCGGACAAATGGGAGCTGTGTGCACAGGAGGAGGATGTGGCGGGTGAGCAAGAGAATGAGGGGAGGTCAAGGATGAGGACGAACAGCAGCAGCATGATCTAAAGCAGAAGGATAGGGAAGAAATGGAGGACCAGGGAGAGGCGGAGGAGAAATGGGGGGAGCGACAACGATAAAGAAATATTCGGAGTCAGAAAAGTGGACCTCGCTGGGGCGAGACGAACAGCATCCGCAGGAACTGGAGTGGAAGGATCGGGAGGAACAGGAGGACCGGGGGAAGGCGGAGGAGGGTAACTGAGGGGGACCACGATGAAGCTAGACTCGGATCCAGAAAAGTGTTCCGCGCATGGGCGAGAGCGCCTGCCTAAACAACGGGAGCAAAGCGCCGATCTGGAAATGAGGCCCACGCTGCAGTGGAAGCAACGTTTTGAACCGCCGAGCACAACCGAATTACAAAACAACAGAAGAACAATATTTGAAATCCTGTGTGTGACAAAAGCACCCGGAGGGGGCGGGCTACTTTTGTATCATCTCCCGGGGGAGAGGAGGGAAGTATTCACATGGGTGATTGAAAAGGGGAAATAACGCGCGTTAGGGCCCAGAGGGTGACAAAACACTTGAAGAGAGGTCGGGGCGAGCAGCCCACCTCGCCGGGCCCCGGGGCCCTCAGAAACGGATCCAGGACGAGAGCTGCCCCCGACGGAGTAGTCGTGAGCTTCGGGGGGGCCCCCCTCTTGAAAGAATGGAAACCTGGGAGGTCCGGGGGGGAGCGGTGGGCGGCCTCTCCAGCGAGGCAGAGTGCTCCTCGAAGGGGGTCGGGGGTCGGAGGCTTCGCAGGCTCAAGAGGCCTCGTGGAGTGCCCTGGCCAGGGATGGGGGCGCAAGGCTGCCTTGTGTGGGCGCCAGGGAGGGCCTCGGGACGGCGCAGTGCCGCCCTGAGGCGGTGGCGGCACGCTCGGTCGACGCGTCTGGTCATCCATGGTGTGGGGAGAGGACGGAGACAGCCAGGGAGTCCTTCGGGGAGGGTCGTGGAGAGAAGCAGCGGGCGGAGAGGGAAGGAGGAGGCGGGACTGACGCTAATGTCCACATCCTCCCCGCCACCCTCATGGCTGGCCCAGCCGTAGGCCTGAGATTGCTTAGTCGATGTCTGATAAGGGAAGAGGAAGGACCAGGATGGACGCGCATGTGCTCTCTCTCTCTATATATCCCTCCTTCCCTCCGCCTCTTTTTTTTTTTTCTCTCTCTCTCTCTCTCTTTCTCTCTTTCTCTTTCTCTTTCTTAATCGGGGTTTCTCTCTCTCTCTCACTGTTTCTCGTTATCGTTCTCTCTCTCTCTCTCTGTCCCCCTCTTTCATCATATCTCTCTCTCCCTCTCCCTCTCTATCACTCTCGATACCTCTTCCGAATCGGTTGTCGAGCCTCCGATGCACTGTCAAGGTGCTGCGCCTCTCTACCTCAAAACTCCAACATGTTCCCTGTGCGGTGGGCTGACCCCGACAGCGGTCACTGCAGCCACCCTGAAGTAGACGGAGTTCTGTGAGAGGTCGATGCCTGTGCGCAAGAGGCGCGGTCAAATAATGCATACGTAATGCAAGAAACGGGCGAATGCCAGCGGCAAAAGCACTTCTCCAAGGGACCCCCCAGTAGGTGAAACGACAAGTACATAATTGCGCTCTTGGCGGTACGCTCAAAGACAGCGGCACTGCCAGTCGCACGATTGTTCGGCGCCAGACCGAGCCCCGGCACGTAAAGCGACTGCAAGGAAGCATACCTTGATGCATTTAGGTATGGCACGGCTGCTGGCGACGATCTGGGTCATGTCTTGCCTTCATGGGTCGATCTGGAAGCCACGCACAGGTGTCGAAGATCGAGGGCCACATCTTTCTGCAGAGCAGCCCGAGTCAAAGGCGAGGGTCAGTTGCCGGCGCCATGTCCAGGGGGTGGTGGCAAAACGTCATCCATGACAGTAGATGATCAGCGCGCGCTGTGGGATGAGACGTTCGGACCTCCTCGGCCACTGCCACTATGACGCACCGCCGTCGCTCGGAGAACGCGACCCTGACGGTCAGTTCAACCTTCGACCTCCGACCTTGAGGACCACCACGCACATCGTCGACTGCTGTTGCCCTGCGCTGTGCCCTGCGCTGTGCCCTGCGCTGTCCCTCGCTGCAGCCCGGGACCAAGCATCTACCCTGACCAAATAAAGCACCGGCAAAAGACAACGGGGCTCACGGTCCCAACGGGCGATCGGAGCGGCTTGTCGTGGAGCGCCCTGGCAGGCCAACAGGGCGCCTGCCAGGGGACCCATACACCCGACGATGTCACTATTTCAATGCGTTGCCCCAGAGGTCTCGACGTCTAGAGCCCTTCGCCTACGGTAGTGATTCGTCCCAGACCCAATTGTGACTGCCCCGGGGCACAACAATGGGTCTTGCAGATGCCTGCAATCAAAGGAACGCACCTCAGACTGAAGAAGCAGCATCTGGGATCTGGTCGTCGTCGTCCTCCTCCTGCTCGTCCTCCTCCTCCTCCTCCTCCTCCTCCGTCTCCTCCTCCTCCTCCTCCTCGTCCTCGTCCTCCTCCTCCTCCCCCTGGAACGCGCGATGAATGACCGATCAAATGATGACCAGATGATCGCCGCGTCTGGCTCGGAGCAGAACAGGCTCAGGCGACGCAGTGCAGAGCATGAGACAGCTGGAGTCCGTTGGCAAGTGAGAAGGTCAGCACAGGTGCTGGGGTTAAGCCCGCCAGGGCGTAAAGTAGGCGCGAATATAATCGAGGTGAGGTGATAGAGGCTTCATAGATGGGGTCCGCGTAGATGGGGTCGGGGGATCGCGACACATCGGCGAAGCATCGGCGATACATCGCCGACACATCGGCGATGCAGCGGCGACGTGGTGATGCATCGGCGAGGCGGTAGGATCCTCCGACCCCAAATGCTCGGACCCCATCTGTGAGGCCTACGTAGAAGTGAGGCGCTCTCCTCCTCCTCCTCCTCCTCCTCCTCCTCCTCAGATTCCCCCTCCTCGCCTGGCACAGCGCTCCGGGGCTCCGAACAGAAGACCCCCAAAATTGGCGTCCAGCCGGGGGGTCAATGAGAGGGGGCGGGCCTTCTCAGAAGGCTCGGAGGCCCCCTGGCCTTCGGACAGGTGTACAAGCAACTTCTCATAAGGCCGGAGGGCTTCTGGAAGTTCCGCCGCCTTCCGAGAAGGCCTTCTCCTCCTCACTTCCCCGCTCGCTCGCCACCGACAAAAGGAAGCATTCTAGGCGGCTGGCCGCACCAGGCCCCAGGGGTTGGTAGCCCTCGGCGGCGGTTCAAAAACACACCGCCGCCCGCCGGGCGGTGTCTGGGTGGCCCCGCGGGCTTCCCTCTACGAGCCTGCTGTAGAGAACAGGACAGCCACCCTCACCATCAGCACCCCGACAGGCGAGCCTTTTTTGTAAACGCGCCCAGAGGGCAGAAACGAGCAGTATAGGGCTGGTTGGTAAACGCCCTGGGCCGTTTGGCAGTCGCCACTCTTGAAATTCGAGACGGTGTTTTACCCCTGATGCCGGGGCCGGCTGAGGCAACCGATGGGAGCTTTCTGTGCGCAACCCTTCTCCTGATGTTCCTTCTCCTCCTCGTTCCTTCTTTCCTCGTCGATCTCCCGATGGGCTGCCCTGTGGGTATCAATGAGACGCCGCAATGGAGAGCCCATGTAGGAGCCCCCATAACTGCAAGCACGATTGGGGAACGAGACACGCCTTCCTTCCTCATTTTCTTTTCTGGGTCGCCCCACTGACCAGGCCTGCAGATAGAGGCGGCCAGACAAGCGGCCGCTCTCCCTGCCTCATCCTCCTCCTCCTCCACTCCCTCATCCATGCATGCATGCAGCAACCTATCCCTCCTGCTGCTCTTCCTCCTCCTCCTCCTCCTCCTCCTCCTCCTCCTCCTCCTCCTCTCCTCCACGCCTGCCTCCCTCCCTCCTCTTCCTCCTCCTCCGCTTCCTCCTCCTCCTCCTTCTCCTCTTCCTCCTCCACTCTCACGCCAGCATCCCTCTTCCTCCTCCTCCTCCTCCTCCGCCGACAGCTTTTCCTGAGAAAGCCGTGGCTCCGAAACAAGCCGCCTCCCACACTGGTCGTGACGCTGGTGCAGTCAAGGGTGTACTGCATGGTGCCCACGTCGAGAATCGCCTGGGGCAGAGCGGGGAATGTCTCAAGGTCCTACAGATCAGGATGATTTGGGCTGGAGTTGAACTCCCGCACACACACATACACACACACACTGAGGGTAGAAGTGCCGCGGGAGACACAAAATCGAGCACACGATGCTAATTAACTAGTGGTCGCCAGAATCTTAAGCACACTTAAATGAACATCTGGAGTGGAGGCCACAATCATATGTGAAGGCATCTCGAGCATGGGTCACGGCCCTGAACACGATACGGGCAAGTGTCCAATAGTAGCACAAATCCAGCGCAGATAGTCAGGAATCCTCGAACGGGTGCAAAATGCCCAAGTATATGCTAGAGGGTCTCTCGAGCCTGAGTCACATTGCTGAGTGCATTCCGAGGGATCTGGAAGAGCATGTCTGAATGACGTGCGACATCAACGTCGGAGTGCGGGCCGCAGTCCTCAGCACAACCACATTCACGGGTGCATCGTCAGAAAATCTCGACCAAGATCGACGGCGTGAGCGGGAACCATAATCCTGAACATAATACCTCCTGCAAGTAGCAGCAGCAGCCCTAACAGGATCAAAGCATCAATCTGGTTTCGGGAGCAGTTAGACATGAACATGCATGTTACACAAAAACGTATGCTGTTTGGACTACCTGCTCCGCTATCGTTTTGAGCGCTCTGCCGCCGGCAAGGCTGAAGATCCTGATCTTGTTCAAGGCGAATTGCCCCATGGCACGCGAACTGCCGGTGGACTGGCGTCGGAGACTGTACCCTGAGATCCGACTTCGCCCCTGACGTCCGAAGATTCGACGACCATAGGCCTGGACCCCATTTTTCGAGAGAAAGACTTCTCTGGATGCGTACGATCGCCGAAAGCGACAACTCGACCTCCCTGAAGCGGCCAAGAACCACGAACGGTCACCGGGTCACGACAGTAAGAGCTGACATGCACACCTGGCCCTGACAAAGTGAGCACCGAGCAACGAAAGGCCTTACGACGGCCAAACCTGGCACGTACCAGAAAATCGGCGGCGAACCAGGGGGAAGTCAGAAGGGGCGGGCCTTCTCATAAGGCTCGGAAGTCACCTGGCATTCTAAAGCGATTTCTGAGCCTTCCCCGAAGACAAAAGAAACTTCTCGTAAGGCCAGAGCGCTTTTGAGAGGCCCCGCCGCCTTCTGAGAAAACCTTCTCCTTCTCACTTCACCCCCTCGCCCGCCGCCGAACCAAAGAAACTCACGAGACCCAACAGAGCCCACGGCCACGATCGTCAGAAGTCGCAAGCCGGTGCGCCCATTCCTTTCTGAGGAGGAGGCACCCGCCCCGATCGCACAGATGCACAAGTGTGGAGGACCCAGCACAAATGTGCAGGTGCACGTATGCATGTGCGCACAGGATGCCATAAACAAGGGACGCGACGGGTTCGGGCCCTTGCGAATCCCTGCTTTGCCAGAGACCGGCTGCTTTCCCCCTAAGCGTCGACCACAAAATACCCAATATGGTGAAGTCCACTGGTGGTGTTCCAGCCAGCGCCCACGTGTGTACTTTCACACGTGTAGCAGCGTGCTGCTTCGACTACGCGGCCCGAACCGTTCGACATTGAACGACCTCCTGCTAGACCCCATCCTCGGTATGGCTTTGCGACATGGGCTGTCTGAAAGTAGATCCGCAGCCCAGAAGCAGGCTTCCCGAAGGTGGTCCACTTTGGGCGCCCGCACCAATATTACAATTGGCGCCGAAACGGTGCGAGATACCGCAACCGTGTATACGGAATATCGATGCTTGCATGCACGCGTGTTTGTGTATATGTGTGTGTGGCTCCACGACAAGATGGCTGCATTTCCTGCACTTCTGTCTCTCCCTTTGCTATGCGCGGAGGACCCTAGCGTGAGGGACGAAAGCAAGCATCGCCCCTGGAACAGTTGCGATCGGCCACGAGGAGTCTGCGTAGCTGCTTGACATGTAGAGGTACCAGTTGGTGATCGTCACGCCACCGTTGGAACCTGCCGAGGGGAGGCCAGAAGAACAGGTGTGACACGGGGCGCCTCAACGTGCCATCAATGTGCTCGACCTTGGCACCAACCCTCCCAGAGATACTCTGCCCGATCGAGAGGACGGCATGCAGGAGGGGGTGTGGGATGAGGTGGATGGGGCCTTCAAGAATGCTAGAGCGAGGGGCAACTTTGTAAGCCAAAGTCAAGGCATGAGGGCGACACTCAAACGCGGAGTCTCGGGCGCTTCCAATCTGCCAACATCAGTGCATGTCGCCGCCTTCAATCTTAACTTGTCACATCCCTGGCCACTCTCTCTCGTCCTCAGAAAGCCTGGGCGGTTTTTGTCATTACGGATTTGCGGACATGCCTCATGCATCGCAGAGGCCTGCAACAAATTCCCCAGAGGCAGCTCAACAGCAACTGCTTCAGCTGGAACGCTCCCCACGCACCGCGCCAGATATCCCGAAAAAGACCATCTCGAGGAGGACGAGGCAACCGCCCGCGCCATTGCAAGCACGGCGCCTGTGAAGTCCCACGCGACCGTCATCTCGTTGTTGTTCTGCGAAGTCACGTAGTACACAGCTCCTTCTGTGGATGGCGCGCGAGATTGAGTGGTCGATGTATAGAGGGCACTCCGAGGGTGCAGGGTGAAGGAGGAAGGACGAGGAGAGACGAAGGACCCGAGGTCGTGCCCAGGGTGGGCGCCGGCGCTGCCCTGGCGGGCGGCCGCATTGCTGCTGACGCCAGCTGTGCGTGCCGGCGGCGGCGTGGAGGCCTGGCGCGCCACCGTGCAGGCGCGCCTGCGGGCCCGGTCTGGGCCGCCTGAGAAAGCGGGTGCCGCCGCCCTCCCCCACCTCCACTCCCGCCCTCGCTCCTCGCACGCCCGCCGTGGAGCGCCCAGTTGGCATTGCAACGAGAAATGCGAGGCGGGAGCAAGGGAAAGGACAGAAGTCCTCCCTCCTTTCTCCCCCCCCTCCTGTGCGTCCGACCTTTCCCTCCTTCCCTCTCTGATCTCCGTTCCCCTCTCTCACTCCCTCCCTCTCTCCCCCCCCTCCCTGCTCGTAATCTGCCGTCCCTCCTCCCAAAACCTCCAGCGCCTTGGTATCAAAAAAGACGACGGCAGGTTTTACAAAACACGTATGGCCTTTGGAGGCTTCAGTTCGGTCCCGGGGCCTGCACACGCGAGAGATCGGGGTCAAGAATTCCAAAGCCCTGACCCCTCGGCAGGTTCCAGCGGTGGCGTGACGATCACCGAGCGCAGCTGCGCCGCCGCTGGGATCACCTTCGTTCCCATGGTGGTCGAGGCGCACGGCGGCGGCTGGGGCAAGGAGGCGCGACGCGCCCTGGCCGTCCTGGCCAAGCGCGCGGCAAACGCCACGGGGGACGACCCCTCGCAGGTGGCGGCGGAGCACGCCCAGCGACTCTCGCATCTCCTCCACAGGGAGAACGCGCGGGCCGTGCTCCGCAGGCTGCGCACGCTGGTCGGGGCGCCCGCGGCCAGCTTTTCGGCGGCCACGGCGGCCAACGCGGCCGACGCCGCCTGAGCCGCCGGCCCACTCCCCCTCCCCTGACTACGACCACCGCCCCCGGCCCGCCCCAACGACCGCGACCGCCCCCGACGCCCTGCCCTGACTTGACCACGACCGCCCCGACGACCACGACCGCCCCCGACGACCACGACAGCCCCCGACGACCAACGCCCCCGACGCCCTGCCCTGACCACGACCGCCCCGACGACCACGACCCTCCCCGACGACCACGACCGCCCCCGACGACCAACGCCCCCGACGCCCTGCCCTGACCACGACCGCCCCCTCCCCCGTCCACGACGACGACCTCCTCCGTCCGCCCCCTCGTTCTTGCTTGCTCTGCGTTGCCTCTGCCGCTCCCCTCCCTCCTCCTGTCCTGTTCGGCGTTTGTTCGCAATGCTTTTTCTTCTTGCCCCTCCTCCTCCTCCTCCTCCTCCTTTTCCTGCTCCTGCGACCGGAGGCCCGGCGTCTGAAGGCGTCTCTCGGCTGGTCGGCAGAGCAGGGCGCGGCGATCCCGAGGGGCCCGGGGGCACGGAAACTGCCGCCGGCTGCCCCCCACTTGCCTCCCTGCCCGGCCGCTGCTGGCCTGTGGGGGGCCGCCAAGCCCTGACGTCTTGAGAGAAAGAGGACGCCAGCAATACACGTCGTTCAGAAGAAGCCCCAGACGTCGAAATCAAGAAGGGTTCTGACTAGGGGGTCTGATTCGAACTGTCTTGGAGGGTTCTGGGAGGCCGCTCTTTCATCGCAGGTCTTGGGGAGTCTGACATTTTCCGCCTGGAGGGTTGTGTCCCCCCTTGTGTGTTATGCCATCCAGATAGGCATAATAATTTTGCAAACAAGATGTTGACGCAGATTGAAATTCAAATGGTCCCCGAACATCAATAGAAAACACCGCAGGGCACCCGATCCCAAAAGAGGGCGACGCTTGAAATCTATGTTGGAATTCGTTCCCCCACGGGTTTCGACTGCCAGTGACCGACAAGTACGGGCCCCTATCCTTGCCCAAACTCCTGGAACATGGTATCATCACACGCCTTCGAACATCCGTCCAGAGTTGTTGGGCGGGCGCTGAGCTCCCACACCCCATGCCCTGGCGCGCGGAACGCGTGGGGGGCGGGAGTGGGGATGCAGCGCCGACCCGAAAAATCCGCAATATGTTATGTTTACGCCGGTGTCTGGCGTTGTCCCCCCCCCCCGCTGAGCAACCGAGCGCCCAGACCCACACATCCAGCGGCGCGATGTGCTTCAATCCGCGGGGCATAGAGAGTCCTGGCCTCTTCCCTGGGGGGAATTGAGCGGGGTATTACTTTTGATTCGGTCGTGTTCACTTGCATGGCGTTTGGGTTCCCTGCCCTCGCCGCCTGTTCGTTTTTTGCTGGGCTGGAAGAGCGTGCAAACACGTGGTCGCCTGTCGTGATCGTGGGCTTTCCCTGCGAGACTCGCCGGGCAACCCCCGCCCAAAAGGTGTTGGCACTGGGGGGGTCCGACTTCCTTTGTAATGAAGAACTGGGCCTGGGTGGCGGTCTGGCGGCTCTATGCTCGCCGTCGGCGCCCCGTCGCCGCCTCGTCGCCGCCCGTCGTCTGCGCCTGGGCGGCGGTCTGGCGGTTCCGTGCTCGCCATCGCCGCCCCGTCGCCACCCGTCGTCTGGGCCTGGGTGGCGGTCTGGCGGTTCCGTGCTCGCCGTCGCCGCCCAATCACCGCCCCATCGCCGTCTAGATTGTGCAACATAGGTTGCACCACGTACGTTGCCCAACCCGGATTGCTCCACGCTGCACCGCATCGGTTGCACCACGTAAATTTCAATGTTTCATATTTTTCCACTTTTAAAGAATAATCCGCCGACCCTGTCGGCGTGTGCGAAGGGCTTGGCTGTTCGAGTCGTCGTCTCCGTCGGTCGTCGCCTCCGTCGTCCCGTTTCCCTGCAGTTTCTTTCTCAAGCTCGTGAGCGAGAGAAAAATCTAGCAGTGTCGTAATCGAGTCGAAGGGAAGCCCCTTCCCTTTGATCCCTTCCCCAGGGGGGGGGTCCCGGGGGGGGTCCCGGGAAGGGTCCCGGGGGGGGTCCCGGGGGGGGTGGGGGGGCAGATTCGTTTTTCCTCGGGCGGCCTAGAAACCTCGAAAACACTCCAAATGAGGTCCGAATTCCCAAGATGGCCCCCGAGACGGCCCAAGAGGGCCCCGAGTCGCCGAAAGATCCGCCGAAAACGCCCAAGACAGCCCCAAGACCGTCCAAGAAACCCCCAAAACGTCCCAGGCCCCCTCCAAGAGACCCCCAGGAAGCCCCAAGAGGCCCCCACGCGGCTTCCAAGCGGCCCCTAAGACCTTCCCAGGAGGCCCACGAACTACCCCCAAGAGGCCCCCAAGAGTGCTCGTCGTCGTCGTCGTCGTCGTCGCCATTCAGGGTCGGCGGCGCCGGCCGCAAGGCCTCCGCAATAATAGCACCCCCCCTGAAACTTACCCGCTAATTTTTCGCATTGCGAACTACGAACGATTCGGCCCCATCGTCGATCCGAAAGATGAACCCATACCATCCAAACCAGGCCGGTATCCCATCCCTTTGCGTCAGAAACAAATAATGTGTGCGCGTTCTTCTATAAAACATCATCAATGCTCAAAACCGGTTGCGTAATGATTTCCATGTGGCGTGCTCCGGAAACATACAGCAATCATACGGAATCGCAGCACGAGTTGCAAGCATTGTGCTCGCGTCCAAATGCAAGAGAAAACCCACGTTTTCAACATGCTCATTCAAGATTACCACGCGGGCCTCTCGTGAGCGCGTGTCGCAATCGTTCGAACGCCTTTGTGCGCGCAATGTCGCGAGAAGCGTCGTCGCCCGCGCGCATGCCCAAACCCTTCACAAACCTTGGGCTTCGTGGAAATATATGATCGCATGCCCCGAAAACATATCAAAACACATGGTTGTGCAACATCCGTTGTCGAAAAAGCCTGCGCTCGCGTTCCTGCGAATTCTCAGAGAAACCACCGGATTGTGCAACATTTTGAATACAACTTTCCTCACCGACGCGAAGACGCCGTCATCGTCGCCGGCGTGATCAACATCGGCGCCGTCACTGGCCGTGCCGTCGCCGTTGTAATCATTGTCGCCAGCATCGCTACTATCATCATTTTGCTTACCGTTGTCGACGTTGCCATGATACCGCGCCCGCCAAAAACACCGACTGACACTGAAGTGCCCGCTGGGAAGTGCCCAGCGTTCAGCGCCACCTAGGCCGCGCCCGTCGCGCCAAACTGGCTGGCCGCTGCGCGCGCGAGCGCGCGCGGCCGCAGGGATGCGCCAGCCAACGCCAAGCAATCAGCGCCAAAGCCTTCGCATGGGTTTTGCGATCCAAGTTGCGGGCGGATGGGTGAGATGATTGCGCGAGCACTGGAACTGACAACTCACTGCGGAAATTGGCGGCTGACACAAGATTTGGACCTGCCCCCCATTGCCCCAGACTTAACCGCTCATCTATTTTCCTGTTGCAGTACACAGACGATTATACCCCATCGTCCATCGCAAATTTGAATTCACATTATCCCCGCCAGGCTGGCGCCCCCACCTCATCTTCTGAAAGAAACGTACAAAGAGCGCGGGCTCGTTCATCACAACTCATCAGTTTTCAAGAATTCCCTGAAAGAAAGAAAGACGAACTGTGCACGCGCGCGTCGTCGCGCGCGCATGCCACAATCAATCTGAACCCTTCGGCTTCGCAAGTACGTCGGAACCGAGCGCCCCGAACACATGCGAACACCTAGGTTTTGCAACAAGTTGTTCAACAACAAGTGGCGCACGTGCTCTTGCGAACTCATGAAAACGATGGGCTTTTCAAAATGTTCGCGGCATGCTCCCAAACGGAACCCTCGCGCGCGCGTCGCAATCGTTCGAACGCCCCCCGCGCGCGCGCTGTCGCGATCATCCTTTGCAAAGAACAAGACGAAACGCACGCGCGCGCGTCGTCGCGCGCGCGTTCCCACAACCCGTGGTTCCGTAAAGGTCTCACTATCGAGGGCACCCAGATATGTGCAAGCACATCAGCTTTCGGAAAGAGCTGCGT